AGGAACTGGCGGTGGGTCCCATTGAGCTTCGTGTAGTGCTCCGCTGTTAGGCTCCACGAGGCGCACCCATACAGGTATAGTCGAGTGTATCTATGGAGTATTTGCCATCATGATATATTCCTCTGAGAGGATCTGCAGTGAGTGCCACAACCTCAAATTGACGACATCGTAGAGCACGGGAACAGCATTCCCACAACAGGCCGGCGGTAGTGATGGGATGGAAAGTATTGTCATTATGAAGGGCTAAACTACGCGGGGTGCAGCAAAACCGGCCTGGGCGTTACTTGGGGCACTGTGTAGTCGGCCGTGTTAGGCCGAGAGTGAGAGGTTGAGAGAGAGGTGGAGAGAGAGTGGGAGAAGGAAACTTGAGGAGAGAGACGGCGGTAGCGGTGGAAGGAGAGAAGGAAGAAAGAGTGGCGCAACACACATGCAAGCCTCATCGTTCCAACCGCGCCAAAAGGGTCCCCGTGACTGCACCGGTGGTACCCTACAACACACGGAATTCCCAACACGTATCCCCTTGGGAACCTTACGACCAGGTACTGCTGCGAATATATCTAACATCCCCCCTGCTCGCAACAGTTGCTCACTGTAAACTTCGCTAACATCCGACATCTCAACCAAAAGACGGTCTTTTCAAGAAGAGTATATGCCATCAAGACTATACCATAAGAAAGAAAAATCGTTCAAGAAACATGAATGAATGCTGCATCGCGAGTAATGAATACTTGGCGCGGAAAATGAAAGCAAAACCAATACACAACCCATCAGAAAAACAATAAATGTTCATGCCAAATTCATCACAAAATCACGGTGAGACTCGAAAGTGTCCTTCGGCAAGCTCTTCGTAAGAAAATCTGCACGCTGGTATGGCGACGGCACGTGGATCACCGAAATTTCCTTCCTCTCTACCAGTTCCCTGAGAAAATCTTGCCTTACATCTATGTGCTTCGAGTTCGAGTTTGAGATGGGGTTCTGCGCTAGTTGAATCGCCCCCTGGTTGTCCTCGAAGACTGGAATGCACGGCATGCCGACCTGCGGCAACATGAAACGCCAAATTTTCCTCAAAAACAAGATCTCCTTCAATACGTCACCAAACGCGACGTACTCTGCTTCTGTCGTCGAAAGCGTAACACACTTCTGCGTTCNCTTGCCTTACATCTATGTGCTTCGAGTTCGAGTTTGAGATGGGGTTCTGCGCTAGTTGAATCGCCCCCTGGTTGTCCTCGAAGACTGGAATGCACGGCATGCCGACCTGCGGCAACATGAAACGCCAAATTTTCCTCAAAAACAAGATCTCCTTCAATACGTCACCAAACGCGACGTACTCTGCTTCTGTCGTCGAAAGCGTAACACACTTCTGCGTTCTGCAAAACCAAGACACGGCGCCTCCTCTACACGTGACGATCCCCCCTAATACCGACCTCCGGTCTGCTGCCTTGCTTGCAAAGTTTGCATCAGCGTAGCCCTGCGAACTGAAACCTTCTCTCTACTGTTGTACCTCTCTGAAACGAAATACCGAAGTGACTCGTCCTCCTCGAATACCCTAAAATATCCATCGCTGCATTCCAGTGTACCAGCTTCGGCGATGCGCAACACCTATCTACGGCCCTTACTGCATTCGCAATATCTGGCCTAGTCTAAGTCGCCAGCCACATCAAAGATCCGACTTGTTCACGAAGCGGAAAGTCTGTCGCCATCTCATCCGCATCAAAATCAGAAAGCTTCACCCCCGAAGACATCGGAACGCTCTTACCTCCCACTACTCCATACTCTTCTGCTAGCTCATCCGTGAAAGTCTGCTGAGAAATCGTCAACCTACCGGTCTCCTTGTTCCTCTCGTGAAAGCACCCAGAATACCATCTCAACTCTCCCAGGTTCTTCACTGGCACGGACTTGTTAAGGTCGGCGCCAAACTTGTCACATCTCTCCCTCTCTCCCACAGCAAAAATGTCATCCACATGTACTACCAAAATCAAAACATCACATCCATCCTCAATCAAACGAAACACACAAGCATCGGCCATGCACTGCAAAAAACCTAACGCTCTACACCTCTTCAGCATTGCATGCCACTGCCTAGATGCCTGTCTCAAGCCATACAGACTCTTGCNCATCCACATGTACTACCAAAATCAAAACATCACATCCATCCTCAATCAAACGAAACACACAAGCATCGGCCATGCACTGCAAAAAACCTAACGCTCTACACCTCTTCAGCATTGCATGCCACTGCCTAGATGCCTGTCTCAAGCCATACAGACTCTTGCCTAGTTTTACAACCCTTCCAGATAGAGCTCCACATCCCTGCGGCAAACGCATGTACACGTCTTTCTCCAACTCCGAACGCACAAAAGCTTGCTGAATATTGAATGACACAAGTCGAGGTTCAACTCGCACGCCAAAGCAGCCAACATCCTAACACACGAAACAGAAACGGTAGGTGCGTACAACTCTCCAAAGTTAATGTACTCGCTCTGCATATCACCTCTCGCTATTAATCTCGACTTAACCTAGGTGGGCCATCCAAACTCATCTGCCTTCCAATCGAATACCCACTTGGCGTTAATGGCGTTCTCCACAAATTGCTACTTCGCCGGAGTAAATGTCCCCGCTTCCAACAAGCCATAAAACTCCCTTTGCGTAGAGTCGCTCCANTAATGTACTCGCTCTGCATATCACCTCTCGCTATTAATCTCGACTTAACCTAGGTGGGCCATCCAAACTCATCTGCCTTCCAATCGAATACCCACTTGGCGTTAATGGCGTTCTCCACAAATTGCTACTTCGCCGGAGTAAATGTCCCCGCTTCCAACAAGCCATAAAACTCCCTTTGCGTAGAGTCGCTCCACAGGTGCCGGTGCTCCGCGCCATGGCCTCTTTGTAGCTCTTTGGAACACGAAGGTCGCTGGCCTGGCAGTGCGGAAGGTCAGGGCGTTGCTCCGGCGGGCGCTGGTCTCGCAGCGTGGCGTTGATGTCTTCCCGGTTGGCGAGGAGCGTGGCAAATGCGAGTGGAAAGCCCGCTCCTCCAGCCCCCGGGTCCGCCGCTGCGAGTGCTCCCCCCCGCTCTCCGGCCCCCGCTCCCCCCGGCTCCCTGCGCTCCTCATCCACCGCGCTCCGAGCCTCCAGCATCGACACCAGAGTGTTGTTGTTTAGCATCGAGATAAATCCTGTGCTGTGCCTTGTGCCCGATCTCGTGCGGCTTGGCAGCCGCGGGTCTGTCATACCCTCGGCCTTTGTACTCGGGCGAAGCTGCCGCATGGCGTGAGCCGTAAGCGGGGGCATCGCGGGGTCCGGCGGCGACGGCGGCTTGTCTGGATCGGGGGCCGCCGACGGTGACGGCGAAGCGGCAGAGGACGTTTGGCCAGGAGCGAGGGTCGCCGACGGTGACGGCGAAGTAGCAGAGGGCGACTGTGAAGGCGTGGGAGCGGGCAGCGGCGTGGTCGCTGGCGGCGGCGTTGCGGCAGCGGCAGGGGGCGAAGCGGCAGCGGGAGCGGGAGCAGGCGACGGCGTGGGCGCTGGCGGCGGCGGTGCGGCGGTCAAAGGCGTCGATGCTGGGCCATAATTGATCAAGACGATCGGCGGCATGAACGGAGGGGGTGTCGGCGCAGCGGTGATACCAGCGGAACCCCCCTCGCCGGCTGGCGCCGACGTCACCCACGACACGTTGTTGGTGTAGACGACGCGGATGCCTTGAGGACATTGACGGTGCTGCTCGGGTGGTTGTCGCCGCCGTTCAGGTAGTAGCAGAGGGAGGCCTGGTCGTCGAGCTTGGTGCGGCGATCCTCACGCATGAAGCCGGGCTGGAAGAACAGCAGCACGCGGAAAGGCCCATGCTCGCCGGTGAACATCTCGTGCAGCGAGCGCTGCCCGGGGTTGGCCTTGGTCGCCGACTGGTTTAGAGCGTCGGCGGCCTATTTCGCCGATTCCATCCAAAGGCGGTCACCGCGCTCGTCGAGGCCGGGGATGGAGGCGAAGTCGACGTTGAACACACGGCCAGCGCTGCGGCGAGCGGCCATGCCGGCCTTCATGATGCGCCAGATGGCGCTCTCGACGACGCCGTTGTACTGCGGAACGCCAGGAGGTGTAAACTCGACGCCGATGCCGTTGTCGTCGCAGAAGCGCCGGAATTCGCCGCGGGTCCACTAGGTGCCGTTTTCGAAGCGGAAACACTCGATGCGCCCGAGGTCGTACCACCCCACGTCCGCCAGCAGCCTTTTCGTTGCCGCCAGCGCGTCGGACTTCCGCCGGAGACCGTAGACCTTGTTCCACCGCGAGGCGCTGTCCACNGTCGCAGAAGCGCCGGAATTCGCCGCGGGTCCACTAGGTGCCGTTTTCGAAGCGGAAACACTCGATGCGCCCGAGGTCGTACCGCCCCACGTCCGCCAGCAGCCTTTTCGTTGCCGCCAGCGCGTCGGACTTCCGCCGGAGACCGTAGACTTTGTTGCGCTGTCCACGGCGACGAACAGTTAGAGGTTGCCGCCCAGGGAAGGCACCAGCGGCCTACACCGGTCCACGTGAACACGCTCGAGGGGCTTAGACGCCCGCGCTCCCGCCCCCCGCGGCACCGCCCCTCGCCTGCCCTTCGCCCTCATGCAGTCCGTGCACGGTTTCAGCTTGCTTGTGAGCACGATGCCTCTCTGCTGGACAGTTTCTCTCAAAAGAGGCTTGCAAGCGTGGGCAAGGGAGCGGTAGAAGCGGTTGATGTCAATGGACTTTTCAGTCGAACCAAGAGCAAACGGGGACGCACCAGGGCCAAGCGCGGCCGCACCCAAGTCAAAATCAGCACCCCCATCAATGCTATCCAAAACACCAGCCACATTCGCAGCGTCACTCTCTGGGATAAACACGGGGAAAAAATCTTGATACGGGGTGTCATGATAGCCATCCATGAGCTGCTCGTCGGTGAGCACACTCGTATCTCCAAGATGCATACCCGCAAAAGTACCCACACGCACAAACTCGGACGCCGAGGAAGGTACTACGTCGGCAGAGCAAGCGGGAGGAATACGTAACACGGACACCAATGATTTCGCGGAGCCCCCTTTTTGGGAAGGGGAACACGCGGAGCCAACGGCGGGGGCGGAATCGGGGGCAGTCACGAATGCGGGCAAAGCAGCAGGGTCTACTATAGTCGCAGATGGGTCGTACGGCAACCGCATGGCATACGCTGCAGACGCTTTTCCTCTCAAGCAAAGAGCAGTCCATTTTGTAGGGTTGCACCACGTTCGTCGTAGAGGANAAGCGGGAGGAATACGTAACACGGACACCAATGATTTCGCGGAGCCCCCTTTTTGGGAAGGGGAACACGCGGAGCCAACGGCGGGGGCGGAATCGGGGGCAGTCACGAATGCAGGCAAAGCAGCAGGGTCTACAATAGTCGCAGATGGGTCGTACGGCAACCGCATGGCATACGCTGCAGACGCTTTTCCTCTCAAGCAAAGAGCAGTCCATTTTGTAGGGTTGCACCACGTTCGTCGTAGAGGATTGGTTGCTTCAGAGAAACAGCATGCGTTGAGAACAAGTTGAAGCTCAGATTCTCTACAATAGACACGTCAGCGAGCTTCACACACATCGTCGTTTTTTCACCATTCTTATCCTCCTGAAAGAAACTAAGATCAATTCTACCGTTGGCTTGCACTTCTAGCAGTCGGCCATCACCTACAACGACATACTTCCTACTGGCGTGATCTCTTGCAGGTCATACATGTGCAGGCTGCTGTTGGTGAACTGTTGCTCGCTCCTGAGTCAGCTACCCATCTCTCGCTACCTGGGGGTCACTCACTAGATTCCACACTCAGCAGAAGCAGACGCAGCAGACTCTACTCCAATCGTCACTCCTATCCTACTAAAAAAATCTCCAGGGTGAGACTTGCCTAGGGGCACCGATTGTGCCGTGCAGAGGTGGAGGTAGCCCGAAGATGGAGGCGCGCCAGGAGAAATAGTAGAGGACGAGGAGGAAGCGGTGGTGCTGCTGCTCGCGGGGGGGGGCTGACGTTGCTGCTCGGATGACGAATCTTCGCCGGCAGGAGGGTAGTACACGTAGTGGATGCCGCCGTCAGATGAACGGCTGTCTTCGTACCCTGAGGGGTAGCTGTAGCTGTCCCCACCGCCGGCGTAGTGGGCGTACCCGGCGTCGTAGTAGCCGTCTTCGTAGTAGTAGCCGTCGTCGTAGTTGCCGTAGTCTTCGTATTATCGTAGCCACCATCATCGTGGGCGTAGTACACAACGTACGCCTGCTCTCTTCCGTGGCCAGAACGCGCGTGCCCCGGGCCTCTCCCTGCCCGCTCTCTCTCGGCACGCCCGTCGCTGCTGTGGCGTCCCGAGGGCCCTCGACCCCCCGGGTGCCGCCCCAGACGACCACCAGGTCCACGTCCACGAAGAGGTCGCGGGGGGGGTGAGGCTTGGCTCCAGCCACCGCCACCATGACCGGTGTGGTGCTGCTGCCCTTCAACTCTCACCCAACGCCCGCCACCCCGGCCGGCTCCCGACGGCGGTCTTCNTCGCGCGCCGCAGTTGCTGCTGGAGACGACACTGCTCGTTCGTGTGAAGCTCGGACTGGTGGTAGCGGCAAAATCCGCCGGGGTCGTCGTTGAACACGTCACTATTTTTCTTCTCTCCGTCACGATTTTGGCCGCCAGCTGCTGCCTGACCGCCGTCTTGACCCCCGGATGCCCCCCCACTTCCCCCACCGCGCCGGCCCATGCCAGACGCGGTGAGAGCGAGCTCCACCTCGCGCTTCTCCCCCTTGCTCCTCTCGCGCTCCATCTCCACGTGGGCGTCTCTCAACACAGTCTCAAGGGTACGCAACGTCAGGACATCATGGGCAAGCAGTATTCCTT